TAGAATTCTTTGTAAGAAGGAACTGTGCCAGTTTGTGAGATTGAGGAACTTCTTATACATGTTGAGGTTATTTTGCAAAATGGTACCCCTGCTTGCTGAATTTTGCATTAAAATTAAAAATTGACATACATTTTACTCCTTCCTTGCAAAATTATAAACCATTTTTAATCAAATTTTATCTTTTAATAAATTAGTTAATTGTCTTCAAACTAATATCTTTCTATATTGATTCTTATTTAATAGAGTGTTTCACTTTAAAATAGATATAAAGTGATTTATATATTATGGGTACTTTTAAAAAAAAACACATTAATAACACCTTAAAACAATAAAAATGGATTACATTTTTTAACATTTAATCCTTAAGGAATACTTTATATTTTTTAACAGAGGAAGTAATCAATTAAAAGTGGAAGAAATGTTCTTGACCAAAGAACCAATTAGAAAATAACATTGCAGTTGAAATCGCAGCAATACAGTTGTTTTTTTTTTGGGTAAAAAAGTGAAAAATTAATATACAATCCTTATAGTTTTTTTTTAAATTTTGAAGTAGATCCTTATAGTTTATCTTGTTTTTATCAAGCTTTTATAGTTTGATCTATCCTTGAATGTTAAAATTAGTAATCAATGACTAAATTTTCCAAAACAAAAATACTTTTAGAGTTTATAGATAATTTAATTTAATATTTTTAGCCAAAATAAAAAAAAGATAATTTGATATTATACATTGTTTACTTTTTTTTATTAAAATTAGAAGGGAGATCTCTCTAATTTAAGCAAATAGAAATAAGGTCAACCTGTTTTACTCAATTTTTTAGTTTTAAAGAAAATTCTCCCATTTTGATCGCATTTAATAAAGATTTTCAGTTCTATCCTTCGATGAGGATGCACATGCACGTAATTGTGCATTTTAATTATAAATTAATAACAGTGATATTTTAGGGAAAAATTAATCACAAACATAACTAAGATAGATAACCAACTTCATTAAACCTTGTAAAACGGTAATATTTGTTTATATTTCAGACCGAATAGAATAGAAGGGGAAAACTCTCTCGTCACTCAAGGTCAATATTTTATTTCATATTTATATTGAGTTGCCCCCTGCTCAATCAAATTGTTATGAACGAAGTTAATTGATGAGATGATACTTCAACAGCAACAGTTTAAAATAATAAACAGCAAAAAATTAGCTTGTTTTTCAAATCAATCTCATGCCAAACATAATTTATTGTTCAAGATCAACCATGTCAGCAATGCCAAAAGCTTACAAACATACCTAGATTATGCTCGATAGACTTGAGACTACTTATGTAACATGCCATGTCAAGCATACATTATATATTTTTTTGAATTCAACTCTCAACCTCTCGATTCTCAAAAATATAAAAGGAGGGTATTTGGCATTAAAAGTCACTAATGTGCTTTAAAATGAATCAAATCATGCATATTCGACTTACTCTAGTATTTGGACCCTATATTAACATTTCAATTATCATACTTAAAACCTACGGCCTAAAATATGCTAGTTTAACACTATCAATACTTAGTGCAAGTATAACAAAATGAATGCAATTTTAGTTGGCAAATATCATAATAAGTTACATAGTAACATAATTAAAATGAGGCTATATGGTAGGAATGTCAATCCCTAAGCCTCAGAAGCTTTACCTTAGTTCACATCTGAGTTAGAGCCTATAAAATATGAAGAGAGATAGGTGAGTACAACAACTCAATAATCAGGGTATATCTATCATATACAATTGCTTATTAATAGGTACGATATATCATTATTTTATAGCTTTCCATTATTGTTAAACAACTTGCAAAGTATCCACATTGCAATAAAGCTTGTTTCATTAAAAAAATGCCTTTGTTATCCTAAACAATGCAGCCTATGACAAAATTCAATTCATTTACTCTTCAAGTTCGACAAATGAGCAGTGGATTACAATGAAGGGGAGTTTGGGGACAAAGAAGAAATAAAAATTGAAGCTACCATGTTTGATGGGTATGCACATGTTCCCAAGCTTGGGTGAATGAACGTCTTCACATTAGTCTACTCGTGGAAATTTCAAAGGAGGAGTTGGGAAGTGAATTATAATTTGTCTGCTCAGAATGGCTAGAATCTTTAGAAATTCGAAAGAGTTTACATCCTAAGGCATGATCGGATGCACTCTATACCTTACATGGGACCTGACTTCAGGTTTGGCATGTTACAAGCTACTTTGAATCTGAAATTTTTTATAGCTGATTTGAAGTTTTTTAATTGAAATTGTTTGTGATTCTGTTCTAGTTCAATTGCTGATTCAGGACTCTCAATACTGAAATTCAGAAGAAATTTTGGGAGTACTTGAAGACAAGGGAGATAAATAATGAATTATGCATTTTCTTGCATCAGTATATGACTAATAAGGATAGAATCGTGCTTCCACGGTATTTGGGAAATGTCAAATCTTTTGTAGAAAAATAGAAGGATAAGCTTGGCTGGCAAGACTTGGTATGAACGCTTGATTTTTCCACTGATTTATTTTCATTAGATGAAAATTCATCCATCCACCCTTTTGCTTCAATATTTGACTACGTAAATATACGCCTTGTAGTTGCCTTCTAGCATGGGGATTCAGAAAGGAGAAGAAAATCTGGGCAATAATAATTAGAATTGTTTGCAAGAAGTGTGACTCTGATTTTGACATTGAGGAACTTATACTAGTGGTTCTGCAAAACGTTACCCTGTTATAAAATATAAAGTATTTTTCATATTTTAAAATGTAATTAAAAAAATTCTTTGGAGAATATTCTTAATTGAGAGTGTAATTGACAAAACTTTTTTAACTGAGACGCCACATAAAATAAGAATAAACACGAGTAATTCTGAATGTGATTAATTAACTTATTTTATTCAAATGGAGGATTATACTTTGCATAATTGTCCCAACCTCATGCCAAAATGGAGATGACTTCTCTCCATGGCAGTCAATATTTGACTACGTAAATATACGCCTTGTAGTTGCCTTCTAGCATGGGGATTCAGAAAGGAGAAGAAAATCTGGGCAATAATAATTAGAATTGTTTGCAAGAAGTGTGACTCTGATTTTGACATTGAGGAACTTATACTAGTGGTTCTGCAAAACGTTACCCTGTTATAAAATATAAAGTATTTTTCATATTTTAAAATGTAATTAAAAAAATTCTTTGGAGAATATTCTTAATTGAGAGTGTAATTGACAAAACTTTTTTAACTGAGACGCCACATAAAATAAGAATAAACACGAGTAATTCTGAATGTGATTAATTAACTTATTTTATTCAAATGGAGGATTATACTTTGCATAATTGTCCCAACCTCATGCCAAAATGGAGATGACTTCTCTCCATGGCAGTCAAGATACCTGTGCCGTTAGATTAGATAATTTGTAAAAATACCTATTAATTTATAGGATTTGAATTTCATGACCTAAATCCACTCATTTTATGAATGTCTCAATTATAATTATTAAATTTTATTAATATTTAAAAATTATTGGATACATTCTCCTTCAAAAATTCAAAACAATCATCACTAATCAAAATACTTTTCATATTGTTATCTTTTCCAAAAATTTGAGATATGAGATTTTATAAGTATTATATGAGAAATTTTGCAAATTTTTTTTCAATCGCTTGATTAAATCAAAGTGTTATTATCCTGCCACATAAAACACATATTAAATGAATGCAGTTAGACAACTCACCGTATACAAATTCTTAATCTATATTGAGGCACATATCTACATTATGGCTTATGGGGGCAATTTCCCCCCCAAGATAAAAAAAATTACACATAATAACCAAAAATATTTCAATTGTCCCCTTCAAAAAATTCAGTTGGCCCCATCCTAAAAGAAAATTTTCACTTTGCCCCTTAAAAGGCCTCTCTTATCCCCTAAAAAAATTATTTAAATCAAATTTTATCTATACTTATAATCTTAAATAAATGGAGTGAGAAATAATTTAAAAAAATACTTCTTGAATTTTAAATATTTTAAAAAATAATAAATATTTATCTTGTGTAACAAATTTGCCCCCACTATCTAATTTTTCTAGATCCGTTACTGTCTATATTGTTAAAATTTGATTTGAATGCTTATTCACAGTGAAAAAAATAATAGAAAGAAATCTGTGTGAAGAGAAAAAGTTTCTGCCAGCACCAATATAATGAAAATCAAATCGATTATTAAATTAAATAGAATATTAATTTGAGAATTAATGATTAAAATCAGAATCAAATCAAACGATGCCACCGAATTTCTATATTATGGGAGCAAAGTAAAACAAAAAACAAAAAACAAAAACAAAAGAAAGGATGGTAATGACTAGTTGACTACTCTATATTTATCAACTTCTCCGGTAAAGCAGAAAGAAGGGACAACAATGACTTCAATGTTTAAAAAAGAGAGAATTATATTGAAGTCTCATATAAAAAAAATTAATTACTGTAAAATACATTGACAATTGAATTAAACTATATTAATCGATATAATAATTAATTTTTCTGCATGAGATTTTGTTGTAATTCTCCCTTTAAAAATTCTGCCATATCAAAGATGCGTGATCTGACCCTAAATTTCAGGAGGACTTTTTTTTTTAATGACATCAAAGATGTCGTTTCTACTAAAAAAAAATATGACTTTAAGTTTTTGTAAATTCATATACTTTTTTTGTCAATATTCTAGATTCTTACAACACCACTCATTAAAGGACTTAAAATATTGAAAAATAAAAATGTAGGGATATAAAATATTAAAAAAATGCAGAAATTAATAGTAAAACTTGATCTGGTATATATATATATATATATATTTGATCTGGTATTTGTTACCACTTCCAGCGTTAGCACCTTGGGGGAGAAGGCAGGTGTTTCAAAGACGCGTGCTTTGACCCAAAACAAAAAACCAAATTAAAAGAGTGAGTTTGACTAATAAATTTGAAGAAGACACTGCCATTGTTATCTGACTTATCTCATCTTCTTCCTTCTTTTCCAAAGCCTAATAAATCATCTTTCTTCTCGCGATACCCATACTCATCTTCCGAACCTGAAGTGAAACTTAAAGTAAGAAAGCCAACTTTCTCTCTTTCTTTGCTTAACTTGTTCGTTTCAGATTCCTTGCACTGTGTTCTCTCTGATATGGATTTTTCTCACTTCTCTTTACTTTGTTCGGAGTAATTGAATGCCAGAATAATATGTGATAGAGAAACCACGAACTGGTGGTAGAAGGCCAAAGGCACTTGACATCTGGGAACACGTCAAGGTATTAAGGGTACTACAGCGCAAACATTGTGGATTTAAATTAGCAGGGGGTGCTACCCGCATCAAAGATCATATTGAGGGCAACCGGGGTAAGGCAATTCGACCTTGTACTGGTCTTTCTCAGCTTAGCAATACTGGTTCCAGCAATTTGAAAGAGAAAGATCTCAGTCATTCGCAAAGTATGGAATAATATCACTCCATCCATTACTTTTTTTCTCCATTTTATCTATTGTATTTATTAACTGAGATCCTTGTATAAAGTTATCTCTCACATCGTGCATTAAAAATAAAAAATAAAAATAATATATACTTTTATGAGAATAAACATTTTATTGCTGTAAATATTTTTTATTTTGGATTAGAGGGAGTATTTTTTTTTTTGGGTACATATGGAATAGTATATATTAGTATTATTTTACTTTGGCTAATGTATAATTTTAGTACTCTAACTTTATATAAGATTTTAATTTAATTGTTTAATTTTTAAAAAGTGTATTTTTAGTCTTTTAACCATAATATTGTTAGTTTCAAATTATTATTTTTTATAAAAATAATTTTTATTTGAAATAAATTAAATGTAATAAGTAAATATTTAAAAATATTTTATCAATATTTAAAAATTTAATTTAAAAAATTTTTGTAATGAAATTAAAGGATTGGAAATACATACATTTTATAAAATTAAAGAACTAAAATGAAATATTATATAAAATTAAAAGATTAAAAGTATACTTTAGCCTTTTACTTTAAATGGGAGAATGATATTTGGGTATCTTGTTAGAGTTTTATTTCTTTTAGAGTATTATTAATATTATAACCATTTACATAATTAATATGCTTGTAGTAAATAGTATACTATAATAACAATTTTTTGTTTGGAGTTTGAAGTAGGGAAACAAAATGTAATTAGTAAGGATTATCGACCAAAAACGAATTGTAATTAAGTAATAATTTTATTACAAGAATTTTCAAACAAAAAATTTGGTGCAATTAATAAGGATTTAATTCAAAGGCTGGCATTCATAAGGACTAGTGCTTGGCTCGGAAGGCTGCATATCTTTTAATTTAAAATTTCAATTATGTTAATACACAATTCAATAAATTGTGTTAGTTTCATATGTTGATTAAAGCATAAAATAAACTAAATAATTTCAATCATGTTATTTTTCAACATCAATAATTTCAATTAAACATTTTTCACCCTCATGCTTATCTAGAAAAAAAAGAGAGAGAGAAAAATAATGGGCCTGAGCAAGTTAGCTCAAGCCCATTTTTTAACTAGCTTATAAGTGTCAAGCTTAAAATTCCTTTTCATTTATAGAGAATGAATATACTCAAAACTCGCAAACGCTAAGTTTACTTTCAGAAAAAAAACTGAGAAAACCAGAGACCAAGGCCAATCTCCTAAAATACTAATTAGATACTAGCAGCACCAGAGACTTAGCTAGGTCTTAGAACCTAGGCAGATGAGACGTATCAGAACAAATAATATAGGTTTTAAAGTTAGTTTAGGGTCCGTTTATTGAAGTTTAAAGTGATTTTAATTAAACTAAACATGATAGAATATGATCGAAGTGTTATTTGGATTAAGTTTTTAAAATAATCACTTGCAGAAAAAAACTGTTTTAAGCATATTTTGATAATTAACTTAAATTACCTTTTGAAAATTTAACATTTTTTTTAAGATTTCGAGTTGAGTTAATCAATCATTGCTATCTGAAAATCACTTTCTTTTATAACTTAAATAAACAGGCCTTCTTTTTCTCCTTGATAACTATAAGAGTATTTCAACATATCAAGCTTTCATTGATTGACATAATATGATCAGAAAGGTTTTTTACTTCTCCATGGATATAATGAAAATAAACATAACTAGTGCATTTAATCAATACATTTTGTTAATTTGTAATATTCCTCTGCCTAAATATCAGAACACGTTTTTGTATTGTGGATTGTGATTATATGATTTTTATATTAATTCTAAATAAGATATCATTAATGCTTGATTGTTACATGTCCCCCAAAACAATGTGGGAAGGCATAAAGGCTCTCCAACAAGAGAGGATTAAAGTCGGCCCTTTTAATGTTTCGCATATGGTGAATCAACGTGACTTCCAGTTGATACAGCATGTTTTTGAACATTCAAGTTCAAGGTAAGATTCATTGATTTGAACTTTATTATTATTCGGTGCTTTTTGTGTGCGTGCTTTCTTTTTTAAGCTTAAATTAACCATCTTATATTTTCTTTAGGGATACAATTTTCTCTTCTTCATCCATACGTTTATTTTGACACAACCTGATTTTACCACACTTAAACCGAAGGCTTATTTGGATTCGTTGGTGAGTAAGTACATATACTTTTATTCTATTTTGTTATTTTTTGTGCAAGACCTTGGTTACCTTAAAGTGTTCAATTTCCTGTTTCCCTAGGTAATAGATAGTTTTGCTGATATCTTGACTGACACTGAAAGGAAGAAAAAGAAAAGTGATGAACCATTGAATTGGTATCTTTCGGTGATGCTTTCGGTGATAAATTATTCCCCTTTTAATTGGACGATATATGCTAGTTCTTGAGTCTGAAAAAGTTATCATTGACAAGTAAATGTTTAAAGGTTCTTTTGTTGTAGGACGTAGCACTCAGTAGTGGTGATGTAAGTTCCTTCGTTGACTTTGTTGAACGACATAAAATGAAAGAGAACTACATGTCTAACTTGAAATATTGTGAGAAGGTATTATGTTATTGTCTTCTTGTAGTTGATGCTTCACTTACCATTATGACTGTGTATCAATATATCAATCTGATTCGTTTGATCACATATTACAGATATTTATTCCTGTCCATGTTTAAAAAAAAAAATCATGTGGACATTTTTATTTATACATTATTCGTGTGAAGAATGAAGTTATTGAAATATGAGATTCTCTTTTTGCTCAATTTGTGGATAAAACTACACGTGAACAAACAACAAAACTGGTAAGTGTTGAAGAACGGTAATATTTATATGATTAATAGATTGATATCGATGTTTTAATTCTATAGAATTAACATCTCGCATATATATAGCTGTTTGCCATGGAGAACATCTTCAGGAATGTTAAGTTCACAGAATTTCCCCGGGGAATGGCAAGCAATATCCCATTACAGCCTAATGAGTGAGTTTATGATTATTTATTCTAAATTATAAGCTTTATTAAGACAAGTATGCATCCTGACCATATCGTATTTCTTGAATATGTAGATGACTGTGGTATATTTGCTATTAAATATATGTAACAATCAGATAATTTTATGAGGCAAAATCCTACCTTGTAACCATTTTCTTTGATCCAAAAAAATGAGAAAAATTAATAGAAGTTAAAGGTTTCTCTTTGAATTGAATTGTTTCTCTAATAGGAGAATATTTATGAGTAATAAAAAAATAGATAATAATTTATTTTATTCTTACACATATTATTTTAAAATATGATATCATGTGCATACAATATAAACATCCTTTTATATTTGATCCCCATATAAATTAAAATTTAAATAACATATTCCAGTTAAAAAGGTATAAACATCTTTTCATACTTATTTAAGAATTTCTTATCCTTGTGTATATGGAAAATGTTATAAGAATTTTTTTGATAGGGTTATTTAAATAATTCAAATTCAAGTATTATTCAGCACAAATACATCTTAATCTAAACCTTTCAATTTCAAACATAATTATTAGGATTAACTAAATTTTTAAACTGTGCGAATTGATTGAAATAATAATATTTTTTTTAAATGTAGGAGACTTATAATTTATTACTTGTATTTTGTATATATATATATATATAAACATAATTCATTATATATAACATACAAATTTAAACAATAAATTATAAAATAAAATATTTTATTATTTAAAGCAATCAACTTACTCCCGTTTGCTTTATTTTAAACAATAAATTTATTGGTTCTTATAAATATACTCGCATGCAAGCTGTGAAATCAAATCTAACACCTGCAATTCATTAACAAAAATTATCGCCATAAAATGATTCTCAATTATGTGTGTGTATATATTTATATTATTATTTTTAAGGAAAATTTACCGAGAGGATGATAATGTTCAATTCTGAAACGTCAATTTTGTTTTTTCAAAAAAAAAAAACAAAAGAAAACCAGAAACTAAGACCAGTACCTCTGGTAGGAAGTACAAACTTGACACCAGCACCAGAGACCCAAGCCTACGAAACCTAGGCATATGAGACCCATAAGAACAAAAGATATTAGTAATTTAAAATATTAATTCTTAAATGTGAACATAATTTTAATTTTTAAAATTTTATTTTCAAGATATAAGAAACAATATTTTATATAAAATTATAGAAATTGAGTTGCATTGAGTCAAAGTTTAAAAATTATGTTACAATTGAGTTAAAATTATAATGATTGAGTAACTGTAAGTTAAAATTTAGGGATTGAACTACAACTGAATCAAAACTATAAAATCAAATAATAATTTTTCCTTTATTTTTAAGAATATGTCCTCAGAAGTGATGTTAATTATTTTTTAGTTGAGTTTATTAAATAGAATAAATGTAAATATAAAAAATATATAATTTCAAATATAATTAACTCATTATAAAAAATGTAAATAATAAAAAGCAATTGTATAACTATCAGCCTAACGCTTTCTGTAGCCGAGAAAATGCTGTAAATCTGAGCGGTTGAATTAAAGAGAGAATTACATTCAAGTCTTACTCAAAATGATTAATTACACTCAAGTCTATTGATAATTGAGCTTAGGAGAATGAAAATATGTAATTCTCCCTTTAACTATTTAGATTAAATAATCTTAAAAAAATATAAATTAATATGCATTATTAAAATTTAATTTAAATGATTTAAGTAAATATACAGTAAAAACAAACGGTAAATTAATCTGCAGTTCCTTCTAGTTTTTTTCAATTTTAAATTAAGTTTTTGTAGCTTAATTTGTTTTAATAAAGTTCTTATAATTTAATCGATTAAATATATTAGTCCTTGAAAGTTTAAATTATTAAAGAATATTGACTTTTTCAACAGAACAATAAATTTCATTGAAATTATACCATACTGTAACTAATAAATCAGTGTTGATAAAAGCTAAGTAATCCCTGAAACCATACCATGGTTAAGTAGAGGAACAAGGCGTCTTAGCAAGTGGGCATGGAACAAACATGAGGGGAAATCCTAGTTGGCGAACATGAGGGTGTCCGTTAATGTTTTTTGGGAGAATTATATATAAATCTTACTTAATATAATTAATTATTTCTAGATTCATTGATAAATGAGCTTAGAAGATTAACGTTGCAATCAATTGTTAATAGATCTGAAAATAATTAATTGTATTAAGTGGGAGTCTGGAGTAATTCTCCCATGTTTTTCTTTTTAGCACTTTCTCCAGGCTCCAACTCTTCCCAGTATTAGCACATATAATAAAAGGAGTAACAAATTACAACTTACTCATGGACGGGCTAGTGGGCATAAGAAATAAAATTGAAGTAATAACCAACCTACCTATCCTTGTCTGAATGCTAAATGTCATATACACTGCCGACAACAAATATTCTGTCGTCGATCACCTTCCGTGAGAATGCATATAAAAGAAAGTTGCCACTATTGACCGTGTCTAAGTGGCTATATAATATACATATATATATATATATATATATACATAAAGCCATAGTTACATACAAACAAATATATATTAATGTACTGAAAACCAAACTGGTCATTAAATTAATCAAATTAATGGTCTAAGGGTCAATGATCAAAATCATAGTCAAACTGTACGTGATGAGACTGGTCATAAACAAAATATTATTAAACTAATTAAGATATTAGTTTAATGGTTAACTGGTTTAACCGGACAAGTTGGCTCGAATTTTCATACTATAATTAATATATGTATATCACCAACAACTACAAATAATACCAATGCACGCTTTTGACTTTATATGAATGGCTTTATAGTTTCAAAGTTTTCCCCTAAAAACGTATGGTTTTTGTCTAAATTATCCAAACAGAACACTGCTATGTTTCTACATCAGATCTTCCATCTTCCTTCTTTTCAGGTATCAAATCATCGCTATCGTCTCGCCCCGATCATTTTCCAATCCTTAAGTAACACTTGAGTATGTAATTTTAATTTCCCTCTTCATTTATTATCCGTTCAGACTTTCAATATGATTCTTTGAAATGGGTTTCTTTCTTCTATTTACTTTTCCTTCTCTTACTTTTGTTTCAATTATCCGACAGGAAAAAATTTATATACTTACCTTGTATATAAGTTTGCACCATACATATATAGAGATTTAGGATTAAACCCTTGAACAACGAGTCTTATTTTAAATTAGAAAGAGGGATCCTATCACTCATCCTAATTTCAGTTTATGATTGTTAATTTGGGGTAAAGAACTCAAAGAAGCGATGTTCAATCTCGATTTGTTGATTCAGTTTTGTGAGGAGAAGTAGAAAATGTTGGATGCAGGAAAAGGAATGATGGAGAGACTAAGTGGTGGTGGAAGGCAAAAGGCAGATAACAGGTGGGAACACGTCACGAAATTGACAGAAGAAAAGAATCAAACACTAGTGGAATGCAGATATTGTGGACTTCAATTTAAAACAGCAGGTTCTAGTCGGATTGAATCTCATATTTTTGGCCCAAAAAAGGGACATAAAAAGGCAATTCGACTGTGTACTGGTTTCTCTGGGCTTAATAATACTGGTTCCAACAAAGTCACCGCCGACTTGAACGAGAAAGAGGACCTCCTGGATTCCCAAGGTACGGAATAACATTATTTTAATTTAAACAATATATGAAGGGAGAAAGATATTTAGATTTCTTAATGTAAGAATGTGATTAATATAAATGATATTAATATTATAAGAAAAATGAGAGACGTGCATAATATAAATAATATAAGTTTTGACAATAAAAAAAATGAATATTATTTTGTCTGTTTTAACACTGATTGAATTCCTTGAAATTTTAATTTCATCCTGTTCTGCCAATTATGTCTGGTTTTCTTACCTATATAGAAGTGGTGGACTCGTTAATGTCTTTTCTTTTTAGCACTTTTTCCAGTCCTTCTCAGTATTAGCACAAAAACATGTCACGTTCTCCTTTAATTTGGTGGCCCATAAGAATTGTGTTGAATCACTTACATTTTATTTTCACGTTGTTGCTGCTCAAATATGGACAAATTACAGACATATATTGTTTGACAACGCTTTTGGTTCTGTGGAATTCTAAATAATATGTTTTTAAACATCGTGTGATCAAATATTCGTAAAATTATATTAATTCATGTTTAACAGCATTTAGCCTCTCTTTTATTCACTGTGACTGGTCAGATCTCAACATCATCAAGATTTCATTGATTGACAGTTGGGATTCGAAAGTATATATTTTGGTTCTGCAACAAATTAATGTACCCATCATTATTGCATTATACATAAAACATGCAGGTTTATCAACATTGGATCGAACAAGAGATTACAACAAACCCAATGAAACATTAATGCTTGATTGTTACGTGTCCCCCAAAACAATGTGGGAAGGGATAAAGGCTTTCCAACAAGTTCAATGCCACACTAAAGCTATGAATCAAGAGAGGATTAAAGTCGGCCCTTTTTATGTTTCCAATATGGTGAATGATCGTGACTCACAGTTGATAGAGTATGTTTTCGAACATGCAAGGTTAGATTCATATAGTTCAAACTTTATTATTATTTGGTGTTTCTGTGTGCTTGTTTTTTGAAAACCTTAAATCACTTATCTTCTATTTTCTTCAGCAAGATATGTATAGTTTTTTCTTCATCACGTTCATTTTTGAATCAATCTCAATTTACCTCACTTGGACCGCGTGCTTATTTGGACTCGTCGGTGAGTATTTACTTATACTTCTATTCTGTCTTGTTATCATTGAGGAAGGCCTTGATTATGTTAAAGTGTTCAATTTTCCTATTTTCTTAGGTAATAGATACTTTTGCTGATATCTTGACTTACATTGAAAGGAAGAAAAGTAAACATTTGAATTGGTACCTTCCGGTGACGTTTTCGGTGATATCTTATTCCCTTTTTAATTGGATGATAATGTTAGTTCTTGAATCTAAAAAAGAAAAAATTATTGACAAGCATATGCTTAATGGTTCGTTTGATGTAGAATGTAGCACTCAGTAGTGGTGATGTAAGTTCCTTCGTTGACTTTGTTGAACGACAAAAAATGAAAGAGAACTACATGTCTGATTTCATAAATAATTGTGAGAAGGTATTATATTATTGTCTTCTTGTGGTTGATATGTTTCACTTACCATTATGATTGCTCTTTTTGACTATATATCAATCTGATTTGTTTGATCACACATTACAGATATTTATTCCTGTTCGTGTTGAAAAAAATTCATGTGGACATTTTTATTTATACATTATTGATGTGAAGAATCAAGTTGTTGAAATATGGGATTCTCTTTGCCCTCAATTTATGGATAAAAGTACACGTGAACAAACAACAAAACTCGTAAGTGTTAAATAACCATAATATTCATATAATTAAGAGATTGATATCGATATTTTAATTCTGTAGAATTAATATCTCGAATATATAGTTGTTTGCCATGGAGAACATCTTCGGGAATGTTAAGTTCACAGAATTTTCTTGGGGAATGGCAAGCAATATCCTATCACAAACTAATGGGTGAGTTTATGACTTTTTTTTCTTCTAAATTATAAGCTTTATTAAAGCAAGTATGCATCCTGACCATATCATATTTCTTCAATATGTAGATATGATTGTGGTATATTTGTTATTAAATATATGCAACAATCAGATAATTATGTGAGGCAAAATCCTTCATTTCAGATATGGTCACTTGCCAGCTAGCTAGTTTTTGTTAAATGCTCTATACATATTCATTCACACATACATATAAATGATATGGACAAAAAGTGTAGTTTGACAGTAATAAAGAAAGATTGGATTTGGCTTTAGAGTTGCTCAAGAGTGACTTCAACCAAGAAAAACAAAAACTATATGATGAAGTAGCAAGAAGATACAAGCAAGGCCAAACTGAAGAAGATCTAGATTCAAGTGGAATTAAAAGAAAGCGGATTGATGCGTGCAAACCAATATTTGAAGATATTCGAAGAGGGCCATTTATGGAATTGGATGATTCCAATGAGAGTCAACAGAAAAAATGTTAGCTCGAAGAAAGGTATATACTTCAACTTAAATTATTTTTTTTAAACAGAAACTTCAACTTAAATTATATACAACCTTTTTTTTGCAGTCATTTATAGAACAGTTTAATTTATATATATTTTTTCTAACTTCTTTTAAAGTAAGTAATAATTATCCTCATATCGTACTATATTTTTATATTTTATCCTTAGCACTTCCTGTATTTAAAAGAAATAATTCCTATTGTCACTTCATGTTAATCGATTATTCCTATTTTTATTGCTAGGATGTGTTAAAGGTAATGTATTGCCGACAACCGAGTTGGTGGGAGAGAAGTTTCAAGGTTATATTGAACGAATATGGAAATGGATAATGGGAAATGAGGTGTCAACAATTGGGATATGGGGAATGGGAGGGGTAGGGAAAAGATTTCTAGCAACTCATATGCATAACAAGCTTTTAGAAGAAGCCGGGGATGACTTTGACCATGTTATTTGGGTTACTGCATCACAATATGGTAACATTTATGAGTTACAAAAGGCCATTGCAAGATCAATTAATTTGGACATATCTGATGAGTGTGATGTGAAAAGGATATCTGGGAAATTGTTGCAAGCATCCAAGCATATAAATAGATGTGTCCTTATTTTAGACAATGTTCGGGATCCTATTCTTTTAGGAGAAGTTGGATTTCCTGTTTCAAATGATAGGATTAAATTGATTTTGACAACTCGTTCATGGGAGGTGTGCCAGAGTATGAATTGTATGGAGAACATAATAGAAGTACAACCTCTAGATGGTAAATGTGGAGAAGGTTGGAAATTGTTTGAAAAGACTCTTGGAATCCATCAAATACAACCTAGTGGAGTGAAGTCTATAGCAACGACCGTGGTAGAACAATGTGGGGGTTTGCCCCTTGCTATTGTTACGATTGCGAGAAGCATGAAGGGAAAAAAACAATATAGAGAATGGAATCATATGTTGGAATGCCTTCAAAACTTGCGCAATGGGCAAGATGATATGGAGAAGTGGATATTTCCGGTGTTGAAATCTAGTTGTGCTTGCTTAAATAATAAATTGTTGCAAAGTTTTTTTCTGTATGCTGCATTAAGTGCTGAATATTATTATGATAATGATATTTGGTGTTTGATCAAAAGATTTTTCATTGAGGGATCCACAGATGAGACAAAGAGCTTGGAGATGCAATATAATGAAGGTTACACCCTGTTGGACAAATTAAAGAATAACAGTTTGGTTATTAAAATGGAAATTCGATGGACAATCCATCCTTTGCTAAGGGGCATGGCTATTAATATTGCGAAGGCAACTGAGGAAATTATGGCAAAATCTGATATGAATTTGATAGAAATACCGGAAATGGCGAATGGCATGAAAATCTACAAAAAGGTTTTCTGAGTGGAACTGGAATACGAAAAATTGTAGATGGCACATCACCTAAATGCTCTAAACTTTCCACATTGCTTTTAAATAATAATGATTCTCTCGAATTGATCCCAGATAATTTTTTTGACAACATGCCTGCTCTTAAAGTACTCGATTTGTCTAAGACTGGCATTAAGCGTTTGCCTGAATCTGTCTCTAACTTGGAATGCCTCATCACATTATTACTTTGGGGATGTGGGGAATTGAGTGACGTGCCTTCATTAGGAAAATTGCAACGGTTAATGTGGTTGGACCTTTCATATACTGTCATTATTGAGGCACCTCATGGCTTGGAATTGTTGGTCAATCTTAGATATCTTAATCTAGCAGGTACAGTACAGTTGAAAATGTCATCATCAGTGATAACCAATATGACCGAGCTGCAGTCTCTTACGTTGAACTGTATCCCAAAATAATGGATGGGAGTGCACATGTTCTACAATGTTTGGGAAAGTTAGAATATATTACAGCCAACTTTTATGACATTGAAGGAGTTTAATTCCTATGTTCAGAGTTTACAGGTCAAAGATCGCGCCCTCAAAGGTTATTATTTAAGTTTAGCTACATCATATGATGGTTATTTTTTATTTCATCCTGAACATGAGGTCCATTGCTTAAAAAGGGTTGTCTTTGGTGGTATTGATTTGGAAAACCGAGCAGAGTTATATCTTCCAGAAGACATAAAGGAGTTGATGATTACACATGTATGTCACCATTGGACAATAACAACATGCCTATCTCAGACTTTATCATTCGCTGAGGAAGTCGAAATTAAACATTTGAGGATACATGAATGTGATAAGCTTGAGAATTTGTGTTGTCTCTCTGAAGATTGCTCGTTTTGCCGCAGTGTCCCATTTGTTCAAGCACTGAGCATTACATGCCTGAAAGACTTGAAACAAATAGCGGCATTACTTGCCCATTTTCTCACCTCAGAGAGCTCAAAATTTTTGATTGCGGCAGCATGAGGATTCTGATGACCTGGGGATCATTAGAACAGCTCCAAAACCTTGAGGCCATTCATGTAAGCGGTTGTGATTCAATGGAAGAAATAGTTGGAGACGATTGTAGCGGTGACATTGTTCCCCGTTCCACCATCACCCTCCCCAAACTGAGACTTGCGGTCTTGGACCAACTTCAAAAATTAAAGTCCGTATTCAGAGGAACCATGCTCTGTCCTTCTCTCAAATATTTTAAAGCCATCTATTGTGAGAAACTAATTAGCCAACCTCTGATAGAGATTGCAAAAGGAAATGCGCTACAGATGGAGAAGACAGACAATGGATACGGTTGGAAAAATGAGGTGCATGTCTCATCCAAAACTCAACTTTCTTTTATTTTATGGGTGCCACTTTGTCACTGTTTGTTTGCTCGTCCACCTCTTTTTTTGTTCTCTCTATTTTCTATTTTTTTTTGGATTGAATCATTCCTTTAACCTTATTTTTATTTTTTGTTCTGGTTAGCAGCCTCAACCAAATTACAGTTGATTTGATAGAGAATGTCCACATTTCCTCCTAAAAGTCGACTTTCTATTATTAAAAAGTTAAAATAACATTTTTTGCTTTCCAAGTATTCTCTTTGGACTACCATTGTTGTAAGCTGCATTTCAAGATTGTGTGGATATCATATTATGTCAATGAAAACATATATATCCTGGTGTTGGAGTTCATGCATCAACTTTATTTTGCGTCAGAATTTCATACCCAGTGCTCAATTGTCTAATGAAAGTACTAAGTAATATCATGATGACTCCCTTGTTCATTGAAAAAAAAAAAAGAGAGGCAAAAAATGACAAATTCAATATACTTTCTTGATAATAAAATTTTACTTGATATAGTACTTTCGTGCTTAACATGGTGGGACAATTCTAATGGCCATATATATTAATGATTTGTAAATTGCGTTGAAGAATTGATATTTTATGTCGCACAACTCACGCACCTGATAGAACATGTACATATTTTAGAACAAGTGCTAGAAAGATCTTTACAAAGTGTTATTTCTAGACTGAAGACCAAATGCATTTTCAAGATGTATGGGGCTGTTTGTTTTCAATTTTTATAAATTATTTTTTGTTTTTCAAGACAAAAAAATTAAAAAACTTATGTAGATAAGTTGTTTTTTCGATTTAATCATTTTCAAAATTGTTTTTGTCTTTTGTTTTTTAAACAAAAGAATAGAAATTATTTTCATTTTATTTTTCTTATTTATAAAATACATTACATTTTATTATTAAAAATTATAGTTATTTTGTCTAATTTCTATTATAAATCACCACTATTAATAGCCTATAATCATCATTATCATTCTATTTTTAATGATAAAACTGTTTTTAAATTAATATAACCAAATAGATTTTCATTCTGTTTTGTTTTCAAAAATAATTTTAAAAACTATATTATAAAACAATTTTTTTTAACATACTCCCACTCTCTCCAAACTGATATCTGTGTACTTGCATGATCCACCAGAATTAAATTCTGTATTCAGAGCATCCATGCTCTGTCCTCTCAACAAATTTTACGCCTCAAATTGTGAGAAACTACAAGGAAATGCAATTATATAAGATATCATTTATTTACAGGGTACATATATGAACATTATTGGTGTTTGTGTTATTTTTCTTTATTTGAATTTTAAATATTTGTCATTAATTTATATGAAACATTAAATTTCTGCTTACAATTGCTCTGTTTTTTCCTTTGCTTCATTCTATTCTTTGGATTTAAGTCTAGCATTTCATTTTAGAGTTGACCAAACTTGAATGCTGATCAATTTTGAAGTCATTGCCAATAAAAAAAGTCGTGCCTTTTTCAACTTCAATTTAATCGATCTTTTGAAAGTTTGAGAGTACATACATGTTATTTTGATTATATCAAGTAGCATTTCAAATAAATGTTAACTATACCTAGCCAATTTGTAGCATAGACAGGTTGATGTTAATTTGTTCTTTAGAGTTCAATTCGTGCCTTGCAATTTTGGGTCTTTTAAAACCCAAAATGCGTGTGACAAAATCAAATGGGTATGTGTTTGAAGCTTGGCAAAATATTTAATTTATTCTTTGAAGTTTTTCTCAAAAGAGGGCTACTAGATGATTCCTTGATTAAATTTATACCCTGAGAATGCATTGATGCATTAGAAAATGAGATGGATATGCTATATTTTCCTTTAGCCTTATTTATAGAGTAGAGAGAGAAAATTAATTTTTGTTCTATTTATAAAACATTTCACTGCAACATCTTTACCTTTTTGCCCTTATTAAATGCTAGGAAAAATTATTAAAAAAATATTATTTTTGTCTTTATTAAGGTAGAAATGAAAATTTATTAAATTTTAAAACAAAGTTAATGAGGTTTGATGTTTTCCATTATTTCGATGAAACACGTTGAAAGTGAATTATAAATAAGATTAGAGGAAATATGTGTGCGCGCGCGCACTTTCTAGACTCATCTTCCAAAGAATAATGTTGGGTCTTTGTTTGAATATAAAATTTTCATTATTGGATTGCATTGAATTTATAATTAGCTGAGAAGATATTTTAATAGGAAATTCCTCTTAATATGAAATTTTATACGTAGTAGCATGAAAAATTTAGTATATAATTGAGTTGTGAATCCCAAAAGACCCATTAATGTTTTTGTTTTATTATACATAGACCAAAAAATGTATGATATATATTTGAAAATTTTTAAAGGTTGATTGTGAATATTTTGCAAGTAATAATTTCAGAATCTGTTAGTGATTCCACTCTAGTTCAACTGCCTCTTGCTAATTTTAATAGGAAATTTGTTGCATTAAGCAAGTTTGAACCAATATTTCCTTTTAAAATATAATCATCTGAAGGTTCTTAATGTGAATTGGTTAGTGATTATATGTACTCTGGTTCAATTGCTAGTTCAGGACTGGCCTCTGACTCTGACTTTATATCTTTTTTCCCCCAAGAACTGGGTTTGAATGACGAAATTCTGGAAAAAAAATTCATGAGTACTTGATGACAAGGATAGGATTGATCAGCTTCTCTGGAATTTGGAAAATGTCAAGTCTTTTGGAGGGGAAAAAAAACAGAAAGATAAGGTTAGCAGCCTCAACTGGATTACCATTGATGTAATTATTAGAGTTAAAATAACATTTTTGCTTGCCAAGTATTCTTTTTGGAGTACCATAGTTGTGAGCTGCATTTCCAGATTATATGGATATCGTATTATCACAATGAAAACATATATATCATGGTGCTGGAGTTCATGTATACACTTTATTTGGCTTCAGAATTTCATACTTAGTACTCGTTTGTTTAATAAAAGTACTAAGTATCTAATATCAGCATTTAAGAAGTTGAAGCTGGCTCTCATCTTGTGTCTCGGAAAAGAGATTGGAAAAATGACAAATTTAGTATATTTTCATTTTTTGGCCAACAATTTAATATATATACTTTAGGGAGAATAACATTTAGGTCCCATATTCCTAAATTAATGACAGTTGGGTTTTTAACTTTTTTTTTTGAAAAATAAGTTAAAAATATTGATCCAAAAAATTACAAATTTGAGAGTTTCAATTGCAAATAAGTTTTTTAAGTATTAAATGCAACCCTTAGATTGTAATAGGAATTTTGATTGGTAATTGTTTGAATTGACATTTATAATTTATTTTTTAAAAAATTTTGTCAAAAATCTAACTGTCATTAATTCAACTTTTTGAGACTTAACTGTTATTTTCCCTATACTTGACTACTGTCATTATCTGGATGTCATTTTATCATTTATTTGCAGAGTACATATATGAACATTACTACTGTCAATTTTTTATTTTCTTTATTTTAATTTTAAATATTTTTAATTAATTTTTTGTCAGACATGAAATTTGGCTTTGCAATTGCTGTGTTTTTGCCTTCATTGCACTCTGTTATCTGGATTTAAGTCTACCACTTCATTTTAGAGATGACCAAACTTGAATGCTGATGAAATTGCTGATCAATTCTGGAGTCGTTGCTAATAAAAAAGTCGTGCATTTTTCAACTTAAATTTAATTGATCTTTAAAAGGTTTGGATGTGCATAATATTGTTTCGGTTATATCATGCAGAATATCAAATTAATATTGACTATATATATCAAACCAGTTTGTAGCATATACAACTTGATGTTAATTTTATTATTTAGCGTTCAAATTGTGCACTGCAATTTAGGGTCCTTTGAAACCCAAAATGGTGTGTTTCAAAATCAAATGGGTTTGTTTTTGAAGCTTGACAAGATGTTCGGCCTCTTTGTAGTCCCTGAAAAGAGGGTTACATGATTCCTCGATCAAATTTATGCCTTCAGAATTTATTGAAGCATTCAATAAATTAAATGAGAGAAATCGATATAGAGGAGAAAATTCAGCTGCTCACATATTTTTTTTAAGAATGTCAAAATTCAGGAGAAAGAAAAGAACTTAATTCAACTAAGCAAAATAAGGATTTTTTTTTTGGAGCTCCATTTTAAAACATAAAGTTATTGATAGAAGTGCTTGAAGCTCTCTTGAGTCCTTGATTAGCTGTAAAATTGTTATCACTAAAAAAAATGAATTTTTGACTGTGACTTTTAGTTGCAATAAAAAAAAAATTGCCACCAAAAATTGCAACAATTAGAAGTTGCCGTCAAAAGTAAGTCTTTGACAGTGACATTGTGTAGCCACTAAAAGCCGATGTCAAAACTCAATTTTTAAATATCATTGTTGAAGGATCCTTTTAGCGGCTACTTTTAAATGCCGCTACTAAAGTTTTTTTATAAAAATAATTAAAAATTAAAAAAATTTATGTAATAGCCAAAAGTATTTTTATAAAAAATAATTAAAAAATTAAAAATAATTTATGTAATTATTTTTTGAGGTGACTTGTCGTCATTGAAACTATTTTAAAAAATTAAAAATAATTTATATAGTTACCTTTAACAGTGACATAGTATTTTTTATAAAAAAATCATTTATGTAATTATTATCACCACCAAAAATATTTTTATAAAAAATAGTTTAAAAATTAAGAATAATTTATGTAATTACTTTTAGTGGTGACAAGTATTTTTATAAAAAATAATTAAAAAATTAAAAATGAGTTATATAATTACTTTTTGTGATGATAGTTTGTCGTTACCAAAAGTATTTTTATAAAAAAATAATTAAAAAATTTAAAGTATTTTTATAAAAATTAATTTACATAATTATTTTTAGCAGAAAAATTTGTTGCCTCCAAAATTATTTTCTTAAAAAAATTACATAAATTTAAATTATATCAAATAATTTATAAAATTATTATTAGAAAATATTACTTATGAATTATTTTAAAATTAAATAAATCATTCAAATGATATTTATGGAATTAACTTTTTTATTTTATATATCGAATGAGAAATAAAGTATATATAAGATCAATAATGATTACTTTTAAAAATAATAATCTTGTTAAGTTAGTATTTTAATAACGATCTTATTTTAATAATTACATTAAAAAAATTCTTATGGAATGCTTGTGCTTCTATGGTTTAAATTATGACTAATAATTTCCAATCAATGTTGGAACTATTTCAATGGATTTCGGTATATGTTAGCTTTCAAAACAAACCTTGTTCTGGTCCCAAATTAGTAGGGAAAACTTTTTTTTCTCCTTCCTTCTTTTTAATGATTTATTTGCCAAATTTGAATATAAAATGTTCATTTAATGATTATATTGAATTTATGATTAACTAAGATGATATTTTACGTTTTTTAGATGTATAATGAAACCATTGAATATGTTTCTAATTTGATTTCTTTTAGTTATTGGGGTCTAGGCAACTGAACACTCGGTTATATATTTCTCTTAATTTTTACTCTTTTTGTGTGTCTAAAAGGAAATTTTGTGATTTAAATCTAGTGAATGACTTAATATTCATTTTGAATGGTCTCACAATGTAAAAGATCAAAGTAATAAAAATCTCAAAGTATTTCAGAAGTAGAAGATAAAGAAAAACAATAATCTTTGTTAGAGATTAAATTGAAACAAAACAAACACCTAAAGTCAAGAAGCAAAACGAACACCTAAAGTGCAACCTACAATAAAGTTATAAAAACCTGCATACAACTTAACCGAAAGAAAAATCAAACTTCTTAGAAGAGTGGTGATTATTTGAACAATATACATCAGACACATACCTTGACATTGTATAGTGGACAAGGAACCTATTTGTTTAAGATTAAAAAAATAAGTAATTTCTACGTAGTTTAAAGATTTTATAAAAGAGATTTATTTTGTAGAGATTTTATAAAAATTAGATATTATTTTATGTTTGGTTATAATAATAAAATATGATTATTAATTTGTTATTTTTAAATTTAATGATATCTTCCTTACCTTTGTTTAATAAAAATAATTTATTATTATATTATTTTAAAATTTTTATATTATTTTCGTCTATCCTGCCTCTTTAAAATATTCTTTCTCATCTATCAAATTAGATTATTTTCAGAAACTACTTCAAGTAACTTCTGCCTTAAAGTAATCAGAAATATACTTTTTTATTTTGATTATTTTTAAAAGTTTAAACGAATATTATAAAAACTTACATAATAAATTTTTTTAAAAAAACAAGTGACTTTTTCATAAAATAAGTCAAAACAAACCGGCCCAAGACCACAGCTAGGTGCAATGGAAAAATGCGATGAGAGTCTAATGTTATACTGACAATTTTTTTTAAAAAAATGGTATGATAATTTTTGTGGATTGCATTTAAAAAGATCATTATGATGAATTTTGTCATTATAATAGTATTAGCGCGCTAGTCATTTAATTTTTCATCCTTAACACACCAATTGGTAGGAACAGAGAAAAAGAGGATTTAAACAATAACATAATCTAACCCTTAATAACCTTCCCATTCCATTTTATTTCATTCTTAAAACAAAAATCCAAGCATACACAAATATGATGACCAGTATGGAGTAGTCTCATTTTCAAACCATTGGAAAAAGTAGGCATATGAGCGCTGCAAGAAAATTTAAATAAATAATAAACAAGTGTGAATATTTGATTATACAAAATTTAATAATAATGTGTCATATGCACGCTTTATCCCTTTAATATTATATTTGGTGTGCGCACCTCAAAATATTTTTTTTTAAATAAGGACAAACACGTTGTTTGTCGAGGGGGACAAAAATGTTTTGAAGATGCCACTATTGACTGAGTGGCTTCATACACACACATATATGTATAATATTACCGACTGACAAATAACACCAATGTGTAGTTTCGAAGGTCTTTTGAAAAAGAGAGAATGACAATTTAGATCCAAAAGACTGAATTAATAATAGTTAAATCCTCAATAAAATAAAAAAATAAGTTAAAAATGTCAATTTAAATAGTTAGAAATTCAAGAATTTTAATTATAAATAAATATTTAAACATTAAATATAACTTTTAGATTGTAATAATAATTTTTATTTGTAACGGTTTAAATTGAAATTTACAATTCATTTTGTAAAATTTTTTATCAAAAATCTAATTATCATTAATTTATTTTTCAAAGACTTAATTGTCATCCTCCTTTTTAAAAATCAATATTCTGCCCATAAAATGATTTATAAATATTTACAAGGACACAATGGCTTCACATATAGTTTCAATTTTTTTGTCTTGTAAAAGACGCAAAGCAAATTCATTCTGCTGTTATTGTTGCCTCCTCCTAGTTAGGATCATAGGATTATGAGCCTGTGTGTGGTCCTTTGAAACTCAGTGTCAATCGGTCTGTGTTTGAAGCTTGACAAGATTACTTTCGTTCTCTTTGTAGCCCCTGAAAAGAGGGCTACAAGATTCCCTAACGAAATTTATGCCCTCACAATTTATTGAGGCATTTAATAAATTAAATGAGAGAAATTGATATAGCGAGGAGAAAATTAAACTGTTCACTCATTTTTCTTTAATAAAGTCAACATTCAGAAGAAAGAAAAGAACTCAACTCAACTCAGCAAAACAAGGGTTATGATTGGAGCTAGCTCCATTTTAAAACATATATTTTCAAACATAAAGTTAATGTTATAAGTGTTTGAAGTTGCTTTTTAAATCCTTGATGATTAAATAAGTGTTTAAATCCTTGCTTTTTAAAAAATATATGTTATATAAATTGAATTGTTCTTTTTTCATATACTTGATCTAATGGTGAGTTGGGCTTAAATAAAACTAATCTGATCGGGAAGAGCTCATAGAAATGGAAGAGGAGGAAGAGGAGGAAAAGGATCAGAAGGAGGAAGAATGCGAGGAGGAAGAGGACAATGCAATATAGAATTGTGATTAAAAGTTGTTAGCGTTATTAATAAGAGTCGCATTTTTAGCATTAG